GACAGACACACACACACGTCAGCACAAAGACCAACACAGACCACCTCACTCATGGTCCTGAGACTGTGTAGGTCTGCAGAATCGTCAAATCACTCACACAACTTTGAAAGTTTCCTAAAAGTCTGAGGTCAGCAGCTTGCTGTAAGAAACTGTTGTATCGCGGTTCTCAACACATCTCAGACTTTATTCTTTTTCAGGATTTCATCATTTATGACCAGATCTCATTCTCACACAAACCTCTACAAGGCGCTCTCTCTGAAGCATTTCACCCTATTTGTGTGACTGAAATAATGCCTGGTTCCCAGAAACGGGACCCCCACCCCCACATACACACAGGATGAAAGGTTACTTTGTGCTGCTCTGTTTTCCTGCAGTTAAAGGCAGACTTTGAACCTCGCAGGCCGATGAGGGGATCATGAAGGTTAGTGAACGCGACACAGATGGAGATACGGGGGAGAAAGCTGCAGGGAGAGCATGGGAAAGGAGAGGCTCAGCACGTTGGGGTGACGAGGGCTGGATAGGGTTTGAAGCTCGCATTAAAGGATCTCTGTCTGTTGGGCTGTGAGAGACGTTTGATTTGCAGACCAATGACAAAAGAGAAACAGGAGATGAATATACCAAACATAACAGCCCTCTGTTATGTTTGGTATATTCATCTCCTGTTTCTCTTTTGTATACCAAACATAACAGAGGGAGATGTGGAAAATTGAGGTCCAGACTCAGAATAGAGACAAGAGAAACAGTTCTGATGCTGCTTCACGCCGCTCTGTGTTCTTACCAGAGATGGGTCCTCGGTCTCGGACCCCAGAGGCTGGCTGAAGTCCTCGGCGCTGAGAGAAAGACCATCTTCCTCTTCTTGGCTGGGCTCCTCCCCCAGGGCGGGGAACACAGAGAGTCCACCCACCTCGGCATCCACAATCCCATCCAAACTGTCGGTGAGAGCGGCGAGCAGAGCCGCGTTCTCCTCTTCTATCTGCAGGAACAGAACATGGGCGGGATCAGGAACACCGATACAAACCTCAGAGACCCACTATTAATCCACCACACCAGATCTATCATCATCACCACATTCATATGAATGGATGGATGTTTGGATATATAGATGTATGTTTGGATGGATGGATGTATGGACAGATGTCTTGGTTCTCAGACTGAAGGACTCTTTGGGAGCTGAATCACTCCTCAAACAATGCCCCATACATTCTGATCACTCTTTCTTCTTGTTTGTGTCATTTATCACAATAACATCACAGGTCAGGTGACTCCACTCTGACCTTTGACCTCATTATCTCCGTCAGTACGACACTGAGTTCTCTGCAATGCTGTATGTGCACTTCTGTAATGTTTCAGCATGAACATTGTCTCGTTTGAAGAAAATAATGTTTATGTGTAATTTCAGTCCAAGCTCAGCTCTCTTTCCACCGCCGGCCCTCCTGTGACATCCACACAGGAGTTGTTTACTGTTGATGAGCTGCCATCTTGCTGAGAGCAGAGTCTGGTGGAGAGGCGATAGCACGGCTGGCCTACGGGAAGCCAGCGAGCTTCATTCATCTGTCTCTCTCTTTTATCATCCAGATCCATCTGTCCCCAGCTGCCAAAACTATTTATTCCTACATTTATTCTCCATCTTCAGGCCAGCTCACGTCTTCTCTGCGGGAATCTACACAGTGCTACATCAGCAGACGAAAGCCTTTGATTGGCTAAAAGCAATACTTAATTTAACAGTCACAGAAAAACAGATTTATATTTACCTGACAATCAAAATACAGACACTTACTTATACTTACTTACTTACACTTTGTTAGGTACACCTGCTAGTACTGAGTTTAACTCTTCATGGCTCAGATTCAACAAGCTGCTCAGAGACTGACATCATTATGACATCATCACACAGCTGATGCAGATGTGTCTCCTGCATCTCAAAGCTGCTCTGCAGGACTGAGATCTGTGTCTGTGGAGGCTGCCTGAGTGCAGTGAACTCACAATCATGTTCTAGAAACCAGTCTGACATGATCTGAGCTTTGAGACACGGAGCTTTGTTATCCTGCTAAAGACGGTGCAATGAGGTCAAAAAGGATAGGCGTGGTCAGCGGCAGCACTCGGCCAGGCTACAGAGTTTAAACGATGCTCAGCTGGTACTGAGAGTCACACCAGCAGCAGCCTGAACATGGACACAGGCAGGATGGATCCATGCTTTAAACTCGTCAGACCAGGAGACGTTTCTCCAGCTTCTGTTGTCCAGGTTTGAGAGTCTGTGTTAGCCATAGACTCAGTTTCCTTTTCTTACTGACAGCAGTGACACTGGTGTGGTCGTCTGCTTCAAGGTTCAGAGACGCTCTTCTGCAGACTTTGGTCGTGTCCAAATTCATGGGCTGCATCCTCCTGAGGACCCGGCCTTCGCAGTCTACGTGGGTCGGGTCCTCAGAAGGTCGGGTAGGCCGGAAGTAAACGGCCGTGAAATTGGACGGTCTAGCCTTCAGATTAGCGTCACCGCTGTCTCGGTGGAGTTTAATAAAGTCAGCCGTCTGCTCCTTGCTATCTAAAATATAACAGGACACTGGCGTAAATTCTCGACTGTCTCATACTTCTGTTTAATCAGTTTTCTGTTTGACGTTTAGTCAGCTGTGTAAAAACCAAGGAGGAACCCACCCTGGGGATTAATAAAGTTTTATTTTATCTAATCTAATCTAATAACTTTAATCTCAGCCAAACCGATTTACTCACGAACAAACAAAACACTGAAAAAAGCCCAACAATAACATTTTTAGGTTGTCTAAGTGACTTATATATTACGTTTAACCCGAGCAGCGAAAGTCCGCGGTGATCTGAAAATGATGTGCCGGGAGTTGTGCCGTTCTCGGCCGCATCAGTAACCCTCGAGCTCCCGGCTAGCTGTCGAGCTGGTGGGTAGCAGACGTCTCCGAAAACGTCGAAGCACTTTTGCAAATATGCGATATCTTGATAAACCGAGCAGATATTTGATGTTTACACGGACTACTGTGGCTCAAGAGTTGGGAGTTCACCTTGTAATCGGAAGGTTGCCGGTTCGAGCCCCGGCTTGGACAGTCTCGGTCGTTGTGTCCTTGGGCAAGACACTTCACCCGTTGCCTACTGGTGGTGGTCAGAGGGCCCGGTGGCGCCAGTGTCCGGCAGCCTCGCCTCTGTCAGTGCGCCCCAGGGTGGCTGTGGCTACAATGTAGCTTGCCATCACCAGTGTGTGAATGTGTGTGTGAATGGGTGGATGACTGGATATGTAAAGCGCTTTGGGGTCCTTAGGGACTAGTAAAGCGCTATATAAATACAGGCCATTTACCATTACTTTCTCGCCTGAAAATATGTTAAAAGTTTATTTTGTGACCCAGAAAGATTAGTATGAGTAATTTTAAAACTTAGTAGCGGCCGCCATTGTTGGAAACTGGAGTTTGGCTGGGCCGCGCTATGAATTCTGGGATATGGTAGGCCACGAAGGACACACCCGACCCATCCTTCAAATTCGGGGAAAAGGAGGACGCATTTGTCGGCTGCATTCGGAGGAGTCTACGAATTTGGACAGCCTTCGGCGCGTCGCTGTGACGTAATCGGTCTACAAATGCGGCCTCAGGAGGATGCAGCCCATGAATTTGGACATGACCTTTGGTTGTAGCGAGTGCTTACTGGAGTTATTGCTGCCTTCCTATCAGCTCTAAGTAGACTGTCCATCCTCCTCTGACCTTAGCGAGTCATTTCCTCCCACAGAGATGCTGCTGGCTGGTTATTTCCTCTGAGCTCAGAGATGGTTGGAGATCAGTGTGTGAAACACTCAGACCAACAACCATGCCACATTCTTTCTTCATCATTCTGATGCTCAGTCTGAGCTTCAGCAGCTTGTCTTGCCGTGTGATTGGCTGACACACAAACAGCTGAATAGATGTCCACTGAGCATGTGTGGGCTTTTATTGCTAAAATCATAATTCTAAATCAATTTGCTCTTTCCTTTCCTGATCTCTGCACTCTGAGGTTAAATTAAGTCACACAAACACGATCGATAACCTCCAGCTGGGGATGAGATTGCGACACGCGACCGTAAATAAGCACCATATTGACTGAAAGCAGAGGGGCAGAGACACTGGGAGGGCTTCATGTGTCTGCTTATCACTCTATTCATTACTCGTGTTCATAATCAAACGCGGTCTGACCATCTACACTGCTGTATTAATCTGATCAATATAGTATTGACTGAAATATAACATATCAGAGGAATGAAGGGGGGTGCTGTGTTTTTCAAAGCTGTACATGTGCAGAGTGAGTTTGCAGAAACAGAAAAATGAGTGAACACAGACCAGAACGCATCAGGAGGAGCAGTTACTGGTGACAAACACAGAGAGGAAAAAGTGCCATGAAGCCATCAAAGAGCTCCCGATACCACAAAGGCCGGGAAGTAAAGCAGCTGCAGTGTTTGATCGAGACAAAGAACCAGAAAAACGGTGAGATTAACGCGCCCGTTTCCTCTTCGTGTATTTTCTTATTAGTCGGCTGCTGTTAGACATGAAGAATCTCACTGCTGTAACTTCTCAGTATGAATACACCTGTGTCCATGATTGTGTCTTTGCGACTGTGTGTGTGTGATTTTGTCTGTGCTGTATGATTGTGTCTGTAACTGTGTCTGTTGTGTGTCTGTGATTGTGTTTGTGCTGTATGATTGCGTCTGTAACTGTCTGTGTTGTACGTCTGTGATCTTGTGAAGTTTAGTTTCGTGTCAGCAACAGGAAGTCAAAGAGTCGCTCAGGCGTCAGCTAATGTGGATCGAAGTAAGAATAAAACTGAGGCGCTCAGAGTGCAGACAGGGGCTGTGGGTGTTTATTTACCTGAATTCCCATAATGCTTTGCCTGTCTTCATTTAACCAATACTCTCTGTGGCACATTGCAGCATCAAAGCAATTTCCATCAGCAGACTTGCATTACACAGCAGATGATGTGGACCTAAATGCTACTTTATCTCTCCGCTATTGTCTTTTTATTCTCGAGGTGCTCTCAATTTAGCCTCCATAATGGGACTGCAAGACTTTGCAGGGACTGCAAACCTATGGACGATCAATGATCCAGGGCCGGCTCGCAGATAAATAAAGATTAGAAGGGTATTCCTTGAATTCATCCCGGAAGGGCACCAGACACCGGAGCCTCGGGCTTTCAGCGGCCCAGCAGATGTGCTGCTTGCATCATCGTGTTACATGCAGCATAACTGGGAACTACTTTCTCGGCTGGGCCCACAGAGACACGCTGCATGTCCACATCTAAGCACAAGGGTCAAGACAGGGCTTTGGGTTTTACACCCACTTCAGCATAGGAAACTTTGGCTCTCTAACAACATGCTTCTGAGACCCAATTCCACGAAAGGCACGTGTGAGATTCAATTAACAGCTGAATTAATTCATAAAACAACAGCTTTGGTCAAAAGGTCTGAAAAAACAAGAAGGTGCCAAAACAAAAAGCACAGATTCAGCCTCTGTTTGGTGTGAAGTGCTGAGACAAGCCTGCAGTGCGTGGACATGTTTGCCAGCTGATTCCGGCCTAATACCTCGTGCTCGCCTCAGTTCACTAAAATAATATCAGAGCACATATTTTGTACACTGTGCAGCTAAAGGAGTCAGCAGGGAGTATTTGGGAAGTCCTTCACACAACACAACTTTGTCTCAACACTAAACAACGGACGAAGATTCATTTCCCTCTGACCACCAGCTCTTCCAAGAATAGAAAGATAACGAGCATAGGTATGAGAAAGAAAGACGCCGAAAAAGGAGACGTATTTTCGAGAAGAGGCGCCGGCTTCAGGACAGAAACCTCACCTCGAACAGCTCGTCTGCTGTGCTGTAGTGAATGGAGGCCGGCGACGCGTTGGCCGACTGATCGTTGCACCACTGCAGCTCGCTGAGGCAGTTGACGCTGTCAAAGTCGCTGGTGTCCAGCTGGGAGAGGTCAATGTCCGGGAAGTCGGTGTCCAGACGGTCCGAACACACCTCCTCCTCCCCATACTGAGGACGGAAAAAGAGAAGGAGAGGTCACGTTAGTTAAACATCGAGATCAAAGCAGCATTCCCAGGAGCCTGGGTTCTTTCGGGATACAAAAAAAATAGCACAAGTCACAAAGATCACAGCTGGGTAAAAGTGTTTTTGTTCTGCTTTGCCTTAAGCAGTGGATGATGCTATCTGTGCTCTCTGAAACACAAACGTGGAGATGGTTCTCCTTCCACGACTCCGATGAGTCTGAATGTTTCTGTGTGGTTGTACTGTCAGAGCTTCAGTTCCAATCAAGCCGCCCTTTCTCAAAGTGAGAGGCACTTTAGATAAAAGTCTGCACTGTAAATCACTGTTCGCTGTCAGCATCACAAGGAGCTCTCATCAACAGCTGCTCATTAGATGTAATAAGGCTTCCACATTAGAGGAGGTTCAACACCAGGATCGCACAGACTGTCTGTCACATGTACAGTCGCCCAGTGTGGACGGTCTTCATCTATTAATGCACGTCTCACTGTGGTCACAGTGACACATGTGATGAGTGCTGGTTTTACTGAGCTGCATGTGTACTCTGACCGAGGAGGTGGATGGTTGATATAACTTTGTTTTCTGATGTTCTTTAGTGACAAATATCTCAAAGTTGTTCGAGCTCTGCGCGTCACTCACTGCAAACACCGAAAGAGAAAAAAACAGGAGACCTAGGCTTAGACACACAGCAGAGGAATGGAGATTATTTCCAGGCAGTAATCAACAACGAGGATCTCCTACGATCACATGAAATCACAGGAACCTCCACATGAACTCTTATGGACATAAAGGACCTCAGCAGGCACCCTCTGACCCCTCGCAACATCTGAGGTAACAAGACCTCAAGAATCATTTCCCATTACCAAATCACTCGACACCTACACGAAGCCTCTGCCTGAAGGAACCAGAGCCTTCACCCTTCATAAAGTCAGGAACTGCCAAACACTTCTCTAAAACCTCAGCGATGGCTTGCCCCACTCTGAAAAACCCACTCCCTGAAAATGTCCGTTGCCCATACAAGACGATTTCAGATCCCGCTTCCTAATCAAGAATTCCTGAAATGCTCTCAGGAACATGTGAAAAGGGAAACTGTGCTCAGTTTGTGTTTTACCCTCAAGATCACATCTCTAAATTCTTTACCATGTGACTCACAGTCACAGCAGGCCGAGCCTCTCTCACACACTGAGCCACGTCACTGTGAAGAGCAGGAAGTGTGTGTGCGTGACTCGCCGTGATGGGAAATGACTGCGTGGTCTCTGAAGGGAGGAGGAAACATTCCTTCCTTAACGTCTGCATGAAGACGACACACAGAATCAATGTCCTGTTTTATGAATGATGAGGAAATGACAACACACACACTGGGTCGACCAGTTAAACGTCTTTAACTGATTCAAACAGATCAGCTTTCCTCAAACACAAAGCAGCTCAGCTTGTAGCCGACTCGTCCTCTGCCGTTTGTGTCTGAGCGTGCAGAACACTCTGTCCCAGCAGCAACTGTCACGTTTCTATCAGGTTTCAGCTAGCATAGCTGAGACCACTGATGTGATGATGAAATTAACCAAATTACCACATTCAACACGAGCAGTGCTCTCTGCTCACACAATGAAAGGAACACTTTTTATTCCGAGTTCAGAGACCCACCATCTCTGAGGAGGCGTATCCTGTCATTAGGTATCAGGGTGAAATCCTTGGACCCACTGTCAGACTATGTTACATGTTTTAATGTTATATTTAACCACATATGGCCTAAATTGCACTCGTTCAATTTAAATGTTTTATTTGAAGCATCATCTGCACACAGAGGCTTTTTCACCAGTGACAGTACGACTGTCTCTGTGGTCAGCACTCGACAAACAAACGATCACAAACAAGAATTAATGAGACAAAATTACTTGCAAAGGTTCTCTTTTGTGCTTATAACATGGAGATGCTCACATGCAAAGTTTAAAACAGTCTTTGTTTGTTTTGCAGAGGACGACTTTTCAGCTGCTGGAATAAATTCATGGCACTGCAGCAACAGCTTTACGGCATGTTTCAGAAATATTTATATTTATATTTATATTTCCACGGCAACTTCTTCTGGAAGATATTTTAACCACCGTATGTGGAAAAACTCGCAATACATCAAGTATATATAGCACACTTGGGGCGACCGTGGCTCAGGGGGTTGGGAAGTGTATCTGTAACCGGAAGGTCGCCGGTTTGATCCCCAGGCTCTCTGTCCTGGCTCTTGGTCGCTTTGTGTCCTTGGGCAAGACACTTTAGCCTACTGGTGTTGGCGCGATATGGCAGCCTCGCTTCTGTCAGTCTGCCCCCCGACAGCTGTGGCTACAACCGTAGCTTGCCTCCACCAGTGTGTGAATGCGAGAGTGAATGAATAGTGGCATTGTAAAGCGCTTTGGGTGCCTTGAAAAGCGCTATATAAATCCAATCCATTATTATTGTCCATTATTCTACGTCAGACCCAACGCTGAGCCATTCAGATCGGCTCTGGGAATCTCTGGAACTGTGCAGGAGCTTCTGTTTGTAACACATAACACAGTCCACATCGGCAACTTGTCCAGCTGACAGACCACCACCAGCTACAACAAAGCAGCTCTGAGCCGTCTTCTACTTCACGATCACCATGAATGAACACATTTTTCATAAAAGCAATTAACAGTATTCATATATTTCTCCCAATCAGCTGTTCGATCGACAGCCAGAACACAGAAATGATAAAAGCCTCATCGCTCCTCTCCCCATCCTGCTGCCCCATCATTTTAATATTTGGCTGTTTTTGGACTGCGTGTTTTATCCCACTTTTAAATCAAAGCATAGTTACATCACACACACACCTTCAGTGATCTCCAACCTCAGCTCATCGCCTCGCTGTGCGTCTCGGTTTATGAGTGTTTATTCAGCGTGTTTATTTGGGTCATGGAGGAGATAAGATCAGCTGATAGCGTTTACGGTTTCATAAACGACTCATGAGACATGATCAAAGAGCCAATCAGCAGAGAGCATAGGAACCTGAGCGGTGGACAAGCTGATGAACGGAGCCGGAAACAGAAGACGCGCTGAAGGAGAGAAGAAGAAGAAGGACACAGGAAGGAAGATGTAGGTCAGAATAACGTCAGCGAAGGGAAAAGGGGAGGAGAGCGGTCATGACTTCACTGAGCAGGAGGAGGAGGAGGAGGAGGAAAGGTGGAGTGACAGAGGAGAGGGCGCCCTCGGTAAGACCCTCCCCCCGCTGCTGATGCAGGTGTGTTTCACCTAACTGAGTGTGAACCTCCCTCAGCATGCAGCTCACATCCTCCTCACGTGGCTCTGACTCATCTCCATCCTTTCTTCATTCCTACCATCATGCAGCCTTCCCTCGTTGGCCACTCTGCCCTTTTCTCCACTTACAGTTTCCTCGTATACTCTTTTTACCCTCGTCCATCAGAGGACAGTCTGATTGAATGTTACCACTCCTCCCTCCATCATCCTCCCTTCCCTCCACCACAGCCATCAATCAATAAAACCATCCCTGAACATGACACGCATGCACAGGCACACATATGGGGACATCCCACGTATGTAGAACATGTCCCAGAACATCAGTGCACACGTGACGCTGCAGCAGCGGAAGGCGATACGAGGCTGCGGCGTGCTTGTAGTGCTGCACTGACTCTGAATAGCGACAAAGACTGAAAGCTTCTCGACATGAATCAGACGCCGGGAGGAGGAAGCAGCTCGGCGAGGAGCAATTCTGCTCCTGTTTCCAGGAAGGATTGTGTTAACCGTCTCTGCAAAGATACAAACCAAACATAAACACGTGTGCAGCATCCAATCAGGTGAGGGGATTCACTGCAGGTCCAAAAGTCAAACTGCGTCAGAGCATTTACAGGAAGGCTCTCAGAGCCTCCAGACGCCCATTTAAGGCATTGATGCAGTGATTTACTGCTGACCTGCGTGTGATTGAGAGCAGATGTTTGCTCGTGTTTCATTGAAGCCTTTCTGTCGCTCCCCATGTTTATTCCAACTGCTGCGAATGTACACCGGCTCTGACACTCTGACCCCGTATCGGGTCGAGTTCAGGTGAGCGCGAGGAGGCGGAGCTTTGACTCCTGCCGATCGAAGTCAGGGCTCAAATTTTTGCAGTCATCAAGCATCAGTTGAGGGAGAAGTGGAAGCGACCAGAAGGTGAGAGCAGCACGTACGTGCCCGCTTTTGCACAAAGCAGGTCCTGACTCGTGCCAAGGAGCCTGAGATGTGACTTTAAATGAGAGGTTTTGCTGAGTGACAGCACGGCGCTCCGTCATCCCCTCTCTGAAAGCAAACGGCAGCAGAGGCGGGTTTATTCCTCCCTGACACCACGGCCCGTCAGCATCACTCAGAGTGTCTCTGAAACCGTTACTGCTCGAACGGACAGATTAAACAAATGAGCATGAAATTAATGCAGAATACTCACACCTTTGAAGTTACTGACAGACAGAGACGAAGGCTCTGTGCTGAGCCTCCGCCTCGTGCTGGAACAGCAGAGGTAATGTGCAAATGAATGAGCCTGACCTCTGAGATCTGCTCACTATCAGCTCCTTCAGAAGGTCCTCACTGTGTAATTCTGCTGTTTTGGGGGGTGGAGGTGTGGTGGGACCCATTTGTGGTTAATGTGTGCCTGAGCGAAAGCAGCGAGACGCTACCAACACGAAGAGTCCGCCGGGACAATCGTGCATTAAACCTGGGCTATTTATAGCACGCCTGCACGTGGGAGAACTATCTGGGCTAAAAGGAGAGAGTGGATGTGGAAAGGCCAGCGAGGCTCTGCGGTGGAGCTCTAGCATCCTTCGTTTCTATCTTTAAACACTCAGATTCCTCAAAGCTTATCTCTGGGTTGGCTAAGCGCGAGCGCCGCATCTTTCCACTGGACTCAGAGTTACACAAGCTGAAATCATCTCGTTAGTTGAGGTCACCCTTCAAAGGTGAATGCTTTTTTAACTCTTTAAGAAAAATATGAAGCAAGAAAAATC